TCCTCCTCCGATCAATAACCTCTTTCTTTAGTCCTCAGAGGTCACTACTCTCCTGATTATGGAAATCACACCCTTGCTTTGCACCAAATGTATTTCTAAACCTGTATTTTGCCAGTTTTTTGAACTCTATGGGCATAGACTCATGTTTACCATTTTGTGCTTGGCTTCTTTCACTCAGCATTACGTTTGTGTGATTCATTTGCGTGGCTGCACGTAGGTACAGCCTACTTCTTTTCATTGCTGTATAGTATTCTACTGAATGGCTGCCCATGCATCCGGGCAATTCTGTCTGCAGCCTCCAGCGAAGGAACCCTCCGTTTCCCCATAGGACCCAGCCCCAAGGTGGGGTCCTTCCATGGTTTGAATTCTACTTTGCTTTACAATCTTTTCTTGCTAGAGATCTCACCCCTGACCCTTGGTGACCTCTGTGTTGGTCACCGTTTCTGCAGTTCCCTAAGTGTGCTGTGCTCACCTGGCTTTTACGTAGCCTGGCCTTCTGCTGCTAATGTTTTTAAGGGACTCCAATCTGGGGTTTACTTCAGTCTCACCTTCAGCCAGTCTTCGTTTTATGCTTTATGCTTCAGCAATATTGAAATACATTTGAATTTTTAAGACTATCTATTACTTTGTCCTTTTTCCTCAAGTGTTTCCTGTTTTTCATCCCCGATTTGTTTCAGTAATGCCTACTCATTATTCATAACAAAACCTAGATTCCAGCTCCTCCAAGAAGTACCCACTGATTCCTTTTATCTGTAGCCTATATTTCTATCATAGCACGTGGCACACAGCATTGGACTGAGCCACACTCATGGTGATCTGTGGCAAGGAAATGGTCCAACCTGGTGGTTCTCAAAGTGTGGTCCTTAGATCACACTGGTCTTCACCTGGAGATCAGTGAGAGATGCAGACTTCTGGTGCTTACTCCAGGTCTTACTCCAGAATCAGAAACTCTGGGCGTGAGACCCAGCAGTCTGTATTCTAAAAGGCTCTCTAGGTGATATTGGTACTAAGAAAGCAGACCACTGGTCTCATCCATCACTGTACCTGGCAGGTGTGGTCCAGAATAAATGTTGAAATAAAAAACTCAAGTCATCTACCCCAAGAAGTCTTCCCAGCTTTCCTAGGCTGGGGGAGGAATCGCTCCTCTGTCCTTGTGGCGTCCGGCATGCTGTAGTGGAAATGCGGACTTCCTCCCTGGATTCTGCTGCCTTCGCCTTGCTCTCTCTGTGCTGCCTGGCACAGGGCTCTGTGTTATAGTTTTAGGTCCTGGGATATACATGAGAGAAACGACAGAACGATTCCTGCCTTTCGTGGAATTTAAGTTCTAAGAGGGCAGGCAGAAAATAAACCGTAAACAAACAAATGTTAAATAATTTCAGATAGCGCTAAGTGCTGTCAGGAAAATGGAACAAGGTGAAGTGATAGCGATGGACTGAGTGACTCGTTGAGAGCAGGAAGTTAGAAAAAGCCTTTCTGGGCCGGGCGCGGTGGCTCAAGCCTGTAATCCCAGCACTTTGGGAGGCCGAGGCGGGTGGATCATGGGGTCAAGAGATCGAGACCATCCTGGTCAACACGGTGAAACCCCGTCTCTACTAAAAACTACGAAAAATTAGCTGGGCATGGTGGCACGTGCCTGTAATCCCAGCTACTCAGGAGGCTGAGGCAGGAGAATTGCCTGAACCCAGGATGCAGAGGTTGCGGTGAGCCGAGATCGCGCCATTGCACTCCAGCCTGGGTAACAAGAGCGAAACTCAGTCTCAAAAAAAAAAAGAAAAAGCCTTTCTGGGAAGCCAACACTGAGCTAAGATTTAAATGATCAAACACCGGCTGTGTAAAAATTGAGGGAAAGCCATTCCAGAGGGAGGAAATGGTTGGTGAGTTTGAGGATCCAGAGGATGGCAATGTGGCTGGAGGATGGTCGGGGGTGGGAAAGGCAAGGGAGGGAGAGAGAGAGAAAGAGAGAGAGAGAGGGAGAGAGAGAGAGAAAGACAGAGACAGAGAGACTTAAGAGATGGACAGAGGCAGCCACGGAAGGAGTTTGGATTTCATCCCAAGGGCTCTGGGGCAACCCTTGGAAAGGGGTGTTTGGGTTGGGTAGTGCTGTGAACTGGTGCAGATTTTTGAAAGCTATCACTCTGGCTGCTGTGTGGATGAAGCAAATTATGCAGGGTCAAGAGTGGAAGCAGGGAGGCCAGTTTGGAGGCTGTGGGGGCAACCAGGCAGATACTGGGCAGCACTGGGGCAACATGTCTGATCACGTGGAATTCTGCTTCCACTGTATTAGATGTATGGCTTTCAGGAGGTCACTGAACCCTCTTTATGTGCCTCAATTTTACCCTCTGTAAGAGGGGATAGCCCAGCACTTAATGCACAGGTTTGCTGGGAAGACTCGATGAGTGAATATGTATAAAACGTGAACTCTTGTGGTGTGAGTTATTTTTATGTTATCAGTACTAGCAGCAGTAGTGGCTGTCATCATTGTAGAATAAAGAGAATGAAGGATTTAGGACATTTACAGGTTGGGGTGACGTGACTTGCTGGTAATTTGGATTTTGAAGATGAGGGGAAGAGGAGAAGATTCCTAGTTTTTTGGCAACAGGTTCATTAGGGGTGCTGGTTATTAACTGGGGGAAGGCCAGTAGCGAAGCAGGTTTTGGATGTGGTGGGAGCGAGAGGTGTCGGAAGCTGTTTGAAGGACGTAGGTTGAGGTACCTATAAAACATCTGTAAGGAGATGTCTGGCAGGGATTGCATAGGAGACCTGCAGTTCAGGGTAGAGCCCGTGGCTAGAGACACACACGTGGGAGCTGGGCACTGTGATGAGTTTGCAGATGAAGACATGAAGGGTGCTCGGGACAGGGGTTCCCTTACCCTAAGTGGAGCAGAGGAGCAGAGGAGCAGGGGCCAGCATCAGGCCTGAGAAGAGAGGCCTGTGAGCTGCTGGGATGCAGGAGAAAGGGGCCTGCGGGCTCCCTTGCCAACAGGTCAGATGGGATAGGCAGAAGATGCAAAGGAGATCCTTCCATTTGGCAGCGTGGACGTCATCTGCTGAGAGAATGGAGGCAATTCGACTTCATTGGTTGATGCATCTCTTTAGAAATCAGCTCAATAGAAAAGCCTGGCTGTGTACGTTCCTTGATACTTACCGAGAATGAGGGAACAGAGAGGGGTCCCTGAAGACAACAGTGGCAATGGCTTCTCAGAGCCACCTTCAGAAAGGATGGAAGAACCGCAGTCGGGGTGGGTGGCACAAATCAAAAGAAGCCCCATTTGTCTTGTTCATGAGTGGAGGGGAGGCTCCTGCCTCTTGTGCCAAAAAAAAAAAAAAAAAAACACCATGAATTTGGTGGAAAAAGCGTTCCTGAAACTGGAACCAAAAACTTCTAAATGACAGCACAGTTTGGCACAGCTGTTCTGAGTCTAGGAGCGTAGGAACTGTCACCCCATGTCTGTGACCTTCCCAAGGCAAATCATGACACGTTCAGATTTTCTTTATTATCAAGTGAGGCATTGGCAGACCTGCTCAATGGTTCTTGAACTTTCATGAGCAGCAGAATCCCTTGTGAAAATAGATTGCTGGGCCCAGCCCCCAGAGTTTCTGGTTCAGTGGGCTAAAGTGACACCCAATCAATTGCATTTCCACCGAACTCCCTGGTGCTGCTGCTGCTGGGGATGGTGGTCCCAGGGCCACCCCTTGACAGCCTCTGGTCTGGATTATCCAGGCTCCCCCAGAGCAGGGACAGCAACCCTCCTGCTCACGTGGCTCAGTAGGAGGCCCTCAGTAATTCAGATTAAATGAATGGATTAATAAGCCTCCGGTGGTAGATCCCTCAGGGCTCAGGAATGGGTGAATGTCATGGCTGTCGGGGCAGCAGGGCTGAGGGCCAGGACGAGACAGACCGCCATGCTGGACATTTAGTGGTTTGTTTCTTTGGCCTCTTCACAATGACCAGATTTGCCTCTGCTGCCACCAGCAGCCCCGCCACCGAGCAGTACTCTACTGAGAGCTTCAGGTGGCCCCGTGGTCTTCTTTGCACTCTCTGCATTCTTCTCCTTGAACCTTCCTAATCTGAAGGTGTCCCTCTCTACCCTGACTGTGAGAAACCTTCCGACAATTCGGTTTAGGCCTGCATCTTCGCAAATGGAATTTAGGTGAAATTTTAGGCAGAGGGACACAGTGACACAAAGGTGTCACAAAGGTGATGCAGTGACACAGAGGCGATTTAAGGCAGTGTCTTTCTGAGATTCCTTATAGACCCCTGGGTAAAGCAGGTCCTTCCTCTCTGCTCTCCAGAGCCAGAGGAAACAGGGTGGGACCCTGGCATACGGCTGCCGAGAGATGGAATTCGTTAAGTCCCAGCAAAAGCGAAATGAATGTTGGTGGCCACATCCCATGCAGCTCACACATCTTTTGGTTAGAAGGGCTGCGCCCTCGCCCTGCACACAGGGCCTTCTTTCTTCCTCGAGGAAAAGTGGCTCTTTCACAGCCTGCTGGGAGGCAAAGGAAATGGAAAAGTCTTGCAGTATCCTGAGCCCCTCTCTGTTTCCTTCGGGCTTTCACAAGTTCAGGGGCTTTTGCACACAGGCCGGGTCCTGTAGGGGAACAGAGAGTTCTTTAGCTGGAGGCTGTGGGCAGCGCTGCTCATGTTTCCATGGGAGAGAAGCCCTGCGCACTGACCTCCTAGCCCCGGCCCTGACTTGGCCAGAAAACAGCGTGTGGAGCCCCTTGTGGCCCTCCCAGTCTGTGGCCCCAAAAGCAGAGCAGCTTAGTGGGGGCTTTTCTGAGAAGCTGCTGAGCTCAGACCCTGCTGGCTCCACATTCCTGGGTGATGAGGGAGGGATTCCAGTGTTTACTTTGAACACTGTTTTCCTGTGTCTGAATCTACTGGGTGTTAAATTCTTCCAGATTTCTGGCTCCACGTTGCAGCTCCAACGGGACAGAAACAGGTTTAAGGCATTTGGCGATGGAACGAAAGCAGGGTGCATCTGGGCACCTTCTGGGTGTAGAATTTCCACCCTGCGGTTGGAAAGGCTGTTAGCGCCTGCTCCTTGGGCCCCACGCCCAGGCAGGGTTTGTTGTGGTCTCAGTTCAGAGCTCTGCTCTTGTGCCTTTCACATTTCCCACCCTAGAGGGCAAAAGTTAGCTTTTCTCTTTTGAAAATGCATCCGGGAACGTGAACAAGCCGAGGTTTTGGAAGGTCAGGGCTTGCAGTGTTTTCCCGGTGAGTACAAACCCAGAAGTTGGGCTCATAAGGAATTCATTCGGTGGGATGTGTTAGGAAACTCCAGTGCATTCCATTTCCTGGGGATTGCTGTGCCAAGAGGTTTCACAGGCATGTGGGAGGTTCGAGCTGGAAGGGAGACAGGGTGAAGCAGACCTCAACCCTCGTTTTTACTCAGGAGAAAACCGAGGTACAGAGAGGCAAAGTAGAGCGAGGGCTGGGAGGCTGGACTGGAAGGGCCAGTCCCTGGTGCACCTGGTTCGATCTCTCAGTGCTGTGCAGTGAGTAACCTGATGATGGTAACTGTAACTATTGCCATCTCTGACCACACAACCATGCAGGGCTCTAGGAAACACTCTCCCCTTTATTAAGTGTTGGTAAATCAGTGGCTTTAACGATACAGAAAGCTTCAGAAAACAAACAGGATCGATTCCAAATTAAAGGCACTCTTTGGGTCCACCATGCACAATAGTTTCTGCATTCTTGTGTTCTGGGCTGGTGAGGAATTCAGGAAAAACTCCCAAAGGACCCCATGATGACTAGGGCTCCACAGAGTCTTTGGTGAGGTGCCAGCCTCTAGGCAGGCAGCTGTCGGCCTCTGAATCAGAACAGCCCAAATCCAACTCAGGCATGGGAGGGGTGATGGCCTTAAAACTTACTCCATTCTAGACCCTGTGCTGTTGGATTCTGGAAACCTACTCTTGAGCCCCGTGTGCCTGTGTGCGTGTGCGTGTGCGTGTGCGTGTGCGTGTGCGTGCGTGTGTGTGTAAGGAAAGGAAGATTAGTGGCAATCTTTCTGGCTCCAGGGCCTAGGTGGGGCCCAAACAGTGTTTATGCAGTAGGTTTGGATAAAATAGTCCCATGATAGAACCTGACATTTTGATCTGGTGACTTGCACAAAGCCATTTTGGTGCCAAGAACATTTTTACTTAGCCTTCAAAAGAAACCATGAAAACGGCAACTTTCTATAACTCTCAAGTAATGTGCAAGGCAAGCACCCCAACTCCATCTCTGAGCCTTCCTCCTGTACCTTGCCCCCCATCCATACCCTACCTGGAATCACTCTGGCCACACTAGTATATCTGCTGCGTCAAAATGGACTTGTCAAAGTCTGCTTTGTTAGAAGAGCAGCTTAGTTTCTGTAGCATGTTATAGACCTAAATTCTTTACTTACATATAGGTTCCCTTACTTATAGACCTAAATTCTTTACTTACATATAGGTTCCCTTACTTATAGACCTAAATTCTTTACTTACATATAGGTTCCCTTACTTATAGACCTAAATTCTTGACTTACATATAGGTTCCCTTACTTTAATAGAAATGGTGTCCCCTAGAGACGGAATGGGGAAGAAGGAATTATGCAGTGAAATTTCTCCCACTGTTGCCAGAGGAGAAGCCCTTCTCTGTCTCAGTTCTGTGAATGGGATTTTTCCTTGGGATGTCTGGTAGGGGCTTTGTATTGGTTATCTCTTGGTGGGTGACAAAGCACCCCAAAGCTTAGTTGCCTTAAACAAATATTTGTTATCTCACAGCTTCTGTGGGCCAGGAATCTGGGTGTGTCTTAGCTGTCTGCCTCTGTCTCAGAGTCTCTCCATGATGCTGCAGTCATGGTTTTGGCTGAGGACGAGGTCTCATCTGAAGGCTCCACAGGTGGAGAATCAATTTTCAAATTCACTCACATGGATATTGGCAAGATTAAGCTCCTCACACATTGTCGAACTAAAAGCCCCAGTTTCTTGCTGCCTCTTGCCTGGAAACCCCTCTTAATTCCTTGCCATATGGGCTTCTCCATAGGGCAGCTTGTAATATGGGAGCAGGCTTCCCTCAAGAGGAATGAGAGAGTGTGAGAGAGTACTCAAGATGGAAGCCAACTTTTTTATGACTTAATCTCAGAAATGACATTCTATTACTTTGACCATATTCTGTTTATTGGAAGTGAGTAATTAGATGCAGTTCATACTCAGGGAAGGAGATTTCACAAGGATGTGAATACCAAGATGTGAGATTATTGGGAGGTAACTTACAGCCTGCCTAGGACACACCTTACGGGCCCAATTGCTGTTCACCCCATGGGCTCTGTCGCCCTTGCAGTTCTGATAATATATGAGTTGCGAGGGGCAGAGGAAAATGATTTCCATGTTCACCCTTACTCCTCCTGAGAGGTAGATAGCTCTGTTGGCATAGCATTTAGAGGCTTCTCAGGGGCAAATAATCCCAAGTTTCTCAACTATTAAGAGTTACATTTACCATCCACTCTCCCATCCCATCCCAGCTCTACTCCAAAGAAAGCAGATGAACCCAAGACAGCATCCACAGTGGCTTTCCATTTCCCTGTGGTCTCTGTCACTCTCTGAACCATGTGACACTCTGCTCTCTCTAGAGTTCATCTAGTCCTCACGTTGGATGCCAATGTTATCTAGGTTTCTTGTTTCCAGAATGAACCCCCAGCCATAAATCACAGAATAGAATTTATACCAATAGTTCAGGGTTCTTGGTGTTTACCAGAAAAGCTAATGGTTACAAAGCTCCTTATGGATCACGGAATACTTTTACTTACATCAACTGGATCATCATCACATCCCATAGGGCAGGATGTTTCCCATCTTGGGGATGAGGAAACAGGTTCAGAAAGACTAAGGAACTGCTCAAGATTAGACATAATGAGGTGAAGCGGGGTTTCAACGTGAGTTCTCTTACCTTTGAATTCTGTGCTCCACCTTGCAGCCCCTTGATGCTGTTTGCAGACCTGAGTCTACAGGTTACTTGCAGGAGGAATCTGGCAAACCTTCTTGGCTCAGTTTTGCTCCTTAAGCCATTCTAGACCAGAGCTGCAATGATCTGAGAAGAGAAATAGAACACAGCTGGGACAAGGGACATCAAAGCTGGGGTGAGGGAGAGCAGACACGACTGGTGACTTAGGGAGCTGCACAGGCACGTGCATGTGTATGCATGTATGTGCCTGTGTGTGGGCGTACACATTCATGCATGAATGTGTATGTGGCTTGTAGACTCTTTCTCATGCCAGTGACTGTATGGATGTTCTGCTCAGGGCTGTGTGTACATGTGCACTTGTGTGTGTTGCTGCCTGTTGGTTGGAAACCTCCCTCAGTTAACCTGTGCACTTATGTGGCTGCAAGTGGACAGACAGATTCCTGGGCTCAGGGATGGGCTCTGGAGATGCCTTTCAGTGAGCAGATGGTATAAACAGGACTCTTGGGATGTGAACAGTAGTGTGGCTGGGGAGGGATGGGTGAGATGTAGGGACAGCACTGTGGCAGCAGTTGTGTTGAAGGCTCCCCTGAGCCTGTCTTCTGACCTCCTATGGCTCCAGTCCCTTCCCTGATCTTCAACATAGTGACTCAGTTTTGGCGAGATGTGTCTTGGTACCAATTTCTCCAGCCTGAACATTGGACTGCATTGTTTTGGCATTGCAGCAGACATCGCCATCCCGCGTTTTAATGATGGCAGCAGTCCAGCCAATAGTCTCTTACCATGTGCCTGTGCCCTGTGCCCTCTGCTCAATCTGTATATGAATTATCTCATGAAATCCTCATGGCACTCTAAGGGTAGTTTGTCTTACTGCCTCTGCTTAACAGCTGAGAACACTGGGACTTCTGAATTTTAACTATCTTGTTCCTTGTTCCTGGTCACACGGCTAAGTTACTGACCTATCTTGAACTTGTGCTCTGAAGTCTGTGTTACACTTTCTCCCAAACAATTGTTTATTTTTTTATTTTTATTTATTTTTTTTTTTGAGACAGAGTTTCGCTCTTGTTACCCAGGCTGGAGTGCAATGGCACGATCTCGGCTCACCGCAACCTCCGCCTCCTGGGTTCAGGCAATTCTCCTGCCTCAGCCTCCTGAGTAGCTGGGATTACAGGCACGCGCCACCATGCCCAGCTAATTTTTTGTAGTTTTAGTAGAGACGGGGTGTCACCATGTTGACCAGGATGGTCTCGATCTCTTGACCTCGTGATCCACCCGCCTCGGCCTCCCAAAGTGCTGGGATTACAGGCTTGAGCCACCGCGCCCGGCTTCAAACAATTGTTTATAAGCAGTTTTACTGTTTTGGAAACTTTGGTGAATTCTCCTATCAATTACTATCTTCAGATATTGAAATCCATACAGAATAATATTGCAGAACCACACTAGAACAGTAAGGAGAGGATGGTTTTTCTGCAATGCTGCATGAGGGTGGTTTTCAAAGGCTAGGCCTTTGTTGGGGAGAGGATACCACACAACACACTCCACGAAGGGCCTGTAACTGGATTTTAAAAGTATTTGATGCAGCCCTCCGCCATGCCAAGAAGACACATTAAAACCTTGTTGTTTCATTGGATTTCTGACTCAACAAAAACTCCTTTTGTCAGAACTTCAGGATTTCCTGGCATGTTACCCACACATATTTTCTATGTGGACAGTTATGTTTCATCGTATACTATTGGGGTATATTTGTGCCTAGAAAGACTCATTTGAAACAAATAATTAAATGTTTCTGCCCAATTTCAAGGAACATCTTTTGTGACTTCTGAAGAATGGACAATTGCTATATTAATTTTTAATTGTGGGCAACAATTTGTTATATATTTAAGTGTTGATTCTCCCTTCATCCCCAAATCATTCATCTTAGTTAAATTAGATTACATTTTTTGCCAGTTAACCTTCTTCATTCTGTGTTTCTCAGGGACCCAGTGAAATGAGTTGCATCAGAGGCTTGAAGAAAGAGTTTTTAGCTGGGAGAAGAGAGGAAGGCCAGCTAATCAGAACAAGGTAAGCAAGTCTGGCCTTGGGTTTTGAACAGAGTCTGTCCTCCCATTGGGCCAAGAATTGCCTGGAATTTAAAGATCTCACTTCTGAGTCTTAAAAACACAATTTAAGGAGAGAGAGAGAGAAAGAGAAAAAAAGAGAGACATGTACCAACAAAATAACACATAACAGGCTAGATGGTCCTGATAGATACGGTTTAGATAAGATACTTGGGAGCAGAGAAGGACCTGTCTATTCCACCTAGAGGCCTGGGCCAACCTCTCAAAAGAAATATCACTGGAGCAATCCTGGAAGGAGATATGAAGGGCATGCAGAGGAGGGACCATGTGTGTGAATTTATAATCATTATGAGGAAGGAAACTCCATGCATGTGAAAAAGCAGTTAATATCTGTTAACAACATACAGAAGATACCCATGGAGCTGCATTTGGTGGCAATGACACCTGGGCCTGGTAAGAGCACATATTAGATGAGGTGAGAATAGAAATGGAGGTTCGAAGGGGAAGCCGTGTAGAGCTTGGGTTAGAATTTGGTACATTTAGGTCCCCTGGACTTCTTCATATTAGACCGGCTTTCATTTCTTCTTTCAACAAAGCCTGAATCCAGGACTGTCATGGGTCTCTGTGCTTGAATTCTTGCTCCTTACTGGGCACCTGCGATGTCTCATTCAGTCTTCACAATAATCCCACTGGGAGGTGTATCATTCCCGTTTTATGGATGGGGAAAACTTAAAGCTCAGACAGAGATAGTGCAATAGATGTGCCCACTTAAAAGCAGTAAAGAGCAGTGCTGGGATTTGAACCCAGGCCTTTACAACGACTCTATTTGTTTGTCATAGTTCTCAAAATAATGTCTCATCTTTTGCCATTTTACTTTCTCTAGTAGTAGCTACTGTCTAGTCAACCAGTCTGTGGTTTTCATTTGTGTTCCATACAAGTGTGCCACTGCTGAATATTTGCATTTTCAGTGATCCCTGGAGAGTCCAGGAGAAGTTGCTTATGGCAATTGCAGTAACGTCCATTTATCTGATGATTTTGACTCAAGTGCCTGGGGACAGAGCAATGAATGTGATGGATGGGATTGCTGCTCTCATGTGGCTTATATTCTAGTTGGTTAAAATAAAATAAATGCGTAAATCATAAGAAATGTCAGGCAGGGATAGTGTTAGGCAGAGGATTAAAATAGGAGATGCGATAGTGACTGGTGGTAATGTTAGGTCATCAGGGAAGGCTGAGGGGTTGACATTTAGGCTGAATCCTGACTTAATCAGAAGGAACAAACCATGTGAAGATCAGGGACATGTACATCCCAGGCAGAGGCAGTAGCTGGGGAAGGACCCTAAGGTGGGAACAAGATTGATGTTTTTAAAGAAGAGAGGCAAGCCCAATGTGGCCGGGCACAGTGGGGGATGGGGGGAGCCGTTTTGGCTAAGGCTGGGAGGGGAGGCAGAGGCCAGATCAAAGAGGGTTTGCAGGCCAGCATAAGGAACTGGCATTGGCTTTTAAATGGAGGGAGAGCCATGGGAATGTTAGGCGGGGGATGATTTAATCTGATCATGCTTAAAAATAATCACTCTGGGTCCTCTTTGGAGAAGGATTTGTAGGGTGTATTAGTCCATTTTCATACTGCTATGAAGAAATACCTGAGACTGGATAATTTATACAGGAAAGAGTTAATGGATTTCCAGTTCCACATGGCTGGGGAGGTCTCCACAATCATGGCAGAAGGTGAAGGAGGAGCAAAGGCTCGTCTTACAAGGCAGCAGGGAAGACAACATGTGCAGGGGAAATGCCCTTTATAAAACCATCAGGTCTTGTAAGATTCATTCACTCTCACAAGAACAGCATGGGAAAAACCCATCCCCATAATTCAATTACTTCCCATTGCATCTCTCCCACAACATGTGGGGATTATGGGAGCTATAGTTCAAGATGAGATTTGGGTGGGGACACAGCCAAATCATATCATAGGAGAATGAGAGTGGAAGCAGGGAGACCAGTAGCAGTTGTTCAGTAGTTCAGTTAATAGATGTCAATGTCTTGGAGGAGGCTGGTGGTGTAGAGAAATCGAATCATGGTGGGTTGGGGTTGTGGGAAGATAATGGGCTGGGGATATTGAATGAAGAAGCAAGAGGAATCAAAGGAAACCTTAGATGTTTGAATTGGGCAATTCGATGAATGATGATGCCTCTTTCTGAGATGGAAGAGACCAAAGAGAAATCTTTTATGGAGTAAAGTTAAGAGTGTTTTTGAACCATGAAAAGTTTGAGAGCTTATTAGATATACAAATGAAGATGTAGTATATTGGTAGTTGGATATATATCTATATATCTATATATCTCCAACTTCTTTGGACTTTGGGAAAGAAGTCAATCTAGTTAGATTTGGCGTATTGATGAAATGTAAAGCCACGAAATTGGTTGACATCACTTTGGGGATGTGTGGAAACAAAGAAAAAAAGAAGAAGAAGAAGGGGATCCAGAACTTCTCAATGGAGACTGAGAAGCAGCTTGCTGAGTGATGTTGGTGGGAATCCACTCCTGTGGCATCATGGAGGCCAGGTAGGAGAACATTTCAAGAACGTGAAAGTGAGCGCTCAGCTCTGTCTATGACCATGGCATTTTGGAAGGTAGAGGGGGAGAGACCTGGGGTACAAGTGGAGAGGTGTTATTTGACAGGAACAGGGATGCCTTATTCATTGTAACAGGAAAGAAGGCAGACTGCAGGCGAGTGTATGGTGGAGAGTTGGTATGAGTGATGGCAGGAGGGGAGGGAGTGCTTGAGGGATTCTTGGATTTTTCTTAAAGCAGGGCAAGAAAAAGACATTAATCTACAATGAAAGGAGAAGGAGGTGAAGAGGAGGTTTGAAATAGTTGCTTGGTAGGAATATAAATTATTTAACCACTATGGAAAACCGTATGAAAATTTCTCAAAGAACTAAATATAGAACTACCATTGGGCACAGCAATTCCACTACTGGGAATCTACCCAAAGGAATAGAAATCATTTTATCAAAAAGACACCTGCACTCATAGGTTTATCCCAGCACTATTCACAATAGTGAAGTCATAGAATCAACACAAATGTCCACAAATGGTTGACTGGATAAGAAAAATGTGGTATATATATGCCATGGAATACTATGCAGCCATAAAAAAGAATGAAAGACTATTCTTTGCAACAACATAGATGGAGCTGGAGGCCATTATTCGAAGTAAACTAACTCAGAAGCAGAAATCAGATATCACATGTTCTCACTTATGACTGGGAGGTAAACAATGTGTACACATGGACATAAAAGTGAGGATAATAGACACTGGGGACTCCAAAAGGGAGGAGGAAGAGAGGAGGGTGAGGGTTGAACAATTACCTGTTGGGTACAGTGTTCAATATTTTGGGTGATGGGTTCACTAGGAGCCCAACTCCACCATGACATGATATATCCATGCAACAAACAGGCACACAGACCCCTGAATCTAAAATAAATATAATGCTAAAAAAGAAATAGTTGCTTGGAGAGTGGAAAAGGGAAAAGAGTAGGAAAGCGGAAGTGTTGGTTGGACTAGCTCTGTTGATTGACTTGGAGATAGAGGATTAAGAGTGTGGAATTAGGCCAGGCATAGTGTCTCACACCTATAATCCCAGCACTTTGGGAGGCTGAGGTGGGCAGATCACAAGGTCAAGAGATCAAGACCATCCTGGCCAACATAGTGAAACTCCGTCTCTACCAAAATACAAAAATTAGCTGGGCGTGGTGGCGCACGCCTGTAGTCCCAGCTACTCAGGAGGCTGAGGCAGGAGAACTGCTTGAAGCTGGGAGGCGGAGGTTGCAGTGAGCCGAGATCGCGCCACTACACTCCAGCCTGATGCCTGGTGAAAGAGTGAGACTCTGTCTCCAAAAAAAAAAAAAAAAAAAAAGGGAAGAGTGTGGAATTATAAAGAAAAGGATCCTGCAGATAGACTGCCTGAGGACTATTCCTGTTTTTTGTCACTGAATCGTTGTGTGACCTTGTAAAGGGGTTAATGCAATAGTACCTAATCATATGGATTTTGTGAGGATTGAACTAGTTAATATGGTAAGATGTTTAGCGTGTGCCCTGGTAGCAGCACATGGCATAGAGTTGCTAGCTGTTATTCCATGTGGGGCCCATCGGCACAGTGGTGTTTGTCTCCCACCATGTTTAGTTGCTGAGGTGGTGGCACCCAAAAGAGCCCCACACATGGATTGAACTGGTATTAAGGCTTTGCCAGGCAAATATGTGTTTGCATAGCACATGGGAGAGGGATAAGGGGTTCAGGTTGTTTGCAAGGGACCATAATGAGGAGCTGTGGGGTATCAACAAGATAAAGCAGAAAGCGGGACACAAAAGGGAGACTGAGGGGGAGGTAGGGTGAGTGGATTGAAATCCAGGAATTGGACTGGGAACCGCTTGGGGACTGAGCTGGAGGGATACAGGAGGGAAGAGTAAGAGTGAGATGCTCGCAGCTTAGATTTCAGATGTAGCGTGTTTATGGGGGACGGTAAGAACAATGGGCTGATCACAGAGGCAGCAGCGATGGAGGCTGAGAGGAAGACCCGGTGACTGGAAGTGGGCAGGTCGAGGACTGCTGGGCTGGAGGTTTGCACGGATCATTCAGGAGACGTTGAAGAAGCCACGATGATGACACAGTAACAGCGAAAGGAGGTCAGCATGCCTGGAGCTCAAGTTGTCAGGGACTGAGGGGCAGAGGACAGTGCTCAGAAGCTGGCAGCAACCAGGCAGGTGAGGCAGTGGTGTAGCCGGGGCACGGGATCAGAGGAGGAGGAAGGAAAATGGTTTGAGGGTGGCAGTCGTGGGTAAGGAAAGTGACTGCCTCCAGGTTCCAGGACAACCCTTCTTTGAGAGGCTGCAGGGGCCCAGGAGAGAGAGCATGTCCCCTGGTGATGACCTAACAAAGTGCTCTTGGCAGAAAGTCCCAGGGGTGTCTGCGGCAGAAGGGAGAGAGGCTGCGTGTCTCCACATT